TTGATCAACTACATAATAATCCAAGTCATTCCTGAGAATAACCATCAGAATTACCAGGGGCCCTGTCTCCACACATATACCTGGCCCCTGCCTTATACTTCCTAAATCTCATGGACAAGACCTACATATCAATGTTTGTGAAAGACTCCCTGTGGTGATTGTGGTGTAATAGTTGAGGAGAAGCAGAGGCAAACTTTCTAATGTGATAGCATGAGGCTAGTCCAACACCTCCCAACTCAGAATGTTTAGATTTTATAGATGTAGCACTGCTCTGCTTGTGAAAGTCATTGTGGTTGTTTCCTCCGACAAAGGCTGGATTGGAAGGATGAGTCTAGTTGGGTTCCAGCTTTGTTGTTCATCCAAGATATTTTTATGTTTAGTTACATATACAGGGTGGGAAAATATTCAACCATTTGTAAACAATTCTATTTGCTGATGTAATGGAAATGATTTATTTCAAGAGGCTTGGTACAAAAGCTATTTGTAGTTTGCTAAAAGTATTTTCATTCTGGCTCAACAAGGAATTTGATAATGATCATGTTATTAATTATTGACACCTTGGTCCTAAAACTATTTGTATTGCTTTATAACTCATTTCCTTAATTTTTGGAAAGCCTAAACCTTATCCTGGGTCTTTTTTACATAGGAAGGCATAGATTTTGAAATATTTTCACTCAAATCATTTTCAATTTCAAAAATGATACTCTGAACTGGATAGTTCTAGAACTAAGAATTGTCACTTTATAGATGGGTAAACTGGCATGTAGAGATAAATGTTGTTTTGTTATTTTTATGCCATTTAATAGCAAAAGAATGTAAGTTATGATGATGACTTCAGATAACTAACATCTATCCTGTTTTAGTACAGCAGCCACCAACTATGGTCCAGGAGGTAGTGGTGTTGAGAAACTGCTATGGAACCTTTAGCCTAAGGAGAGTCTCATGTGTGTTCGAAGTCATAAGGAACAAATCTTGGTGGCTCTCCTGTGACCCTTTAGGTTCTCAGAAGACAAGTGTTATGAGAAACAGCCAGCATGACCTGCCTCTTCTCTCACTCTCTGCCCTGGCACGTGTTCTGGTTGTTGTCTGCTATAATGTGGCACAGCAGAGAACCACAGCTGAGAACCATAGCACCAGGCTATGGAACCTCCAAAACTGCGAACTAAGTAACTCTTAGCCTCGGTCAAGTATTCCATTATAGTAATGCAAAACTAATCCAAGTCCCATGACAAGAAAAAACCAAGAGAATCCGTTTAATGACTTGTTTCATTACCTATAAAGTCACAGAGAGAATTATTTGCTCTCAGTCTAACGAGTGCATCTGTGTGAATCATGGAGACCACCTGGAAGCACTCTGCTTTCTACCCAACTCCTTGATCACAGCGAGTCTGTGTTGAGGACCAGAACCCAGCTGAGGTCCTGGGATTCTACATCAACGCAGAAACTGAGACCATGCTGGCAGACTCTGAATGTGTGGGTAACCTGAGGCTTTAAGCAAAAGAACAACCATTGAACCTTCACTTGGATTCCTGGGGTTTCAATTGGATTTTGTTGCTGAAGGCCAAATGGGAAAGGTGAAGGGAAGGGGAAAAGTCTAATTTAAAATCTTCCCCCAAAAGTCAATTTAGTTGACAAAAAAAATTATTCTGTGGCAGATACTGTGGGGATGCATGAAAACACTTCTGCAGTCTGGTACAGGAGGTAAATTATATACAACCAAATCAATCCTAATTCCATCAAATTAAGATTTTCAAGTGAAGGTAAGAGGATCCTCTACCAGCCAGGGTCAGGTACATTAGGGTTCAGTTACAAAATAAACTTGAAATGTTGGTGGTTTAATGCAACAAATTTTTGTGCCATGCTTATGCAAACTTAAAGCAGATCCATGCTGCTGTGGTTACATATATACTCATGCAGAGACCCAAACTATACTGTTGGGAATAGATATTTTTAAAGGCCACATAGAAGCAAAATAAAAAGCAACTGATAGGGCTGGGAAGGTGTCTCCGTGGTAGAGCACTTGCCTTGCATGCATGAGACCCTGGGTTCCATTCCTCAGAACCACATAGCAGAAAAAGCCAGAAGTGGCACTGTGGCTCAAATGGTAGAATGCTAATATTGAGCTGAAGAGCTGAGGGTCAACACCCAGGCCCAGAGTTCAGGCCCCATGACCAACCAAAAATTAAAAAAAAAGTAACTGACTAGTAATTTCAAGACTTTGAGTGCAAAGTGATAGTATTATGAAAGAGAGACTAAAGGAGAGACAGACAGACAGAGACAGAGAGGTTTATGTAGGTTTGAGAATCAGTAGGAGGTGATCTCTATGTTTGAGTATAATTTAAATGGATATTGGGGGATGTGAAAGAAAAGGCCCTTGGAAACCCAAGAGCCAGTTTGCCATTTGACCCAAAAAGGACTTTTTGTACAAATTAGCCTAGAATTTCAATACTCTTGATCTCAGCCTCCTCATTAGACAATACTATGGGTGTGAGCCTCCAAGTCTGGCTTGGTTACTTTTTATATTTAAATCTAACATATAAGAAATTAATATTTGTATTTGAGGCAATATAGAGACATTAAATATTTTACATAGTTAACGTCAAATAAAACAGTTATTAAATATACACTGTATTCACCACATTCACTGTATGTAAAATTCACTTATGTCTAGTCTCTCTTTATACACATGCACACACATAACCCTTCATGTGTGTGCAAACATTTCTATATGTATATATAAACTGTGTTTGGACTTTCTATTCTATTTTGTGATATTGATTTCTCTGTCTTCTCTAGCTATCATCACATTTGAATTTACTAACCTAAAAACAACTTCCTGATCGAGTACAGAAAAGCTGCCCATCCTTTATCACTCCTGGTTTTTGTTGCTTATTTAGCTACTTCCTTTATTTATTTTTTTATTTTATTTTTTGGTCGGTCATGGGGCCTGAACTCTGGGCCTGGGCGCTGTCCCTCAGCTCTTCAGCTCAAGGCTAGCGCTCTACCACTTAAGCCACAGCACTACTTCTGGCTTTTTCAGCTTATGTGGTGCTGAGGAACCGAACCCAGGGCCTCATGCATGCAAGGCAAGCGCTGTACCACTGAGCCACCTTCCCAGCCCCCTTCCTTTATTTTTATGTTTCTGCTTTCTTTTTCATCTATGGGTCTTCTGTTATTTGTTTGTTTTTTTGCCTGCAACAGGCCTTGAACTCAAGACCTGACACCTAGTCAGTGTTCTTGTACATCAGTGACACTTTACCTTTAATTTTTTGCCCAGGCTGGCTTTGAAATGAGATCTTCCCACTCTCTGCTTCCAAAGTATGTAGAATTGCAGGCCTAGATAATGATTTCTTTTGGTGGAGGAGGGAAGGGGTCCAGCGCAGTGCCTGAACGTCTGCTTGTGTACACTTGGTTTTTAGTTCATGGCTGGTATTCTACCATTTGAGCCACACTTCTAGCCCTTCTGTCTTTTAAATAGCCTAAGCATCTATGATTAAGCAATCTTAGGACAGATATTTTGTATACTGCATGAAAATGTGGAAGACTTAGGGCTGAGGAACCCAAAAGCTGAGTCCCCATAGAACTTGTTGTGTTCAGCCTCAGTGGGCAGCCTGTATGTCCAGTGCTCCAGGGTCAAGTATGGTAAGAAGCAGGAAGTGAGGCATTGTGCTTTCTTGAAAGTGCCTATGACATCTATTTGCATATGTTGCTATTTCTGTATTTTCCAGGATATGACAAGTAAATCAATTAGAAATGAAGGTTAAAATTAATCTTGCTATGCCTAAAACATAGTTCCTCTAAGCTTCAGCAGAACTTCAGAATGAAGCAAGCTATATTTTTAGGTATTTCAAGACCTTGACTCACCCTGGCCCTTCATGAAAGGAATCTTGTTCTGAATGGTGGACAGAGATGTGTGCCATCCTGATTCATAGGTCTTGGGATAATAGTTTTACGAGTTTTGTGGTAGGAAACATATGCATCAACACTCCTGTCCAGTACACATCATGCCTAATGGTACAGGAAGAGTCATTGGCTAAGGTTCAATGTGAAGTCTATGTCTGGGAATTTGTAGAGTTCCTTGTCACACACAGGGATTGTATCCAAGACTGAGCAATGTTCCCAGCATGATTTCTTCAGTTATCACTAATTACAGCGAGACCATGATACACAGACTAACCTGTCTGGTTGACATTTTGGTCCAGCAGAATTTATCTGTCCCTATCTTACAGTTTCACTCTCATCACATTCCATTCAAGACCATTCCAATTCTATTCACATGAAACATTATGAGAAAATATGTCCTTGGTCTTCATCAAAAGCCATCAATTCAAACCAAGAACTGGGAATGGAGGTCAGTGGGAAGAGTTCTTGACTAGCATGCACAAGACCCTAGGATCCCCAGTACTACATGAATAGCAACAGACATATATATATATACAGACACAGACACACAGACACACAGACACACGCACACCCCTAAAAGTCAGGAATATACAATGGATATTTACATACCTTTGCTTAGTTATCTTAGCAATATCTTTCAAAATCTCCCTAGATATCCTTCACAAGGCTTTGCTTTCTCAAGAGCAGATGGTGATCTATTTAATAAGATTTTTTCTCTCTCTCTAGAAGATGGTCTACACTAACCTGGCTTTAAAATTGAGAAGAGAGGAGAAAAGTTGGTGTCTGTGGCTTTGTTGTAAAGATGTAGCCCTTGGGAAGTGGAAGGATTTTTTTATCCCAACCAAGTCATGCCGAAGGAGGTCCATTTATGACTACTTCCAAAATGTGCTTTCAAAACAGAAGGAGAAAGCCTGCTAGTCCATTCTGTAGACGGATCTGATTCTGTTCAAAACTCATCCTGACCTTTTTGTGGAAGAAGAACAAAATAATGTAGCAACAAAAACACAAGTGGCTGCCAAAGGAAGAGAGAGGAAAAAAAAAGAGTTCCTGTAGGGACTGAAACAATAAATCTCCTCTCTGCTGAACTCCCCAAGGGAGTGTGTGTATTTCCTCCTGTTCTTTATCAGAGCCCCCAAAATAAGTAGGAATGGGCAGTGGCAGTTTACACTCGACATACCTTTCCCTTGGCTAGTAAGACCCTACCAGGCTGGGAGGAAGGTTTCCCAGCCTTATTCTGGAGAAAGAAGCCACTGAGACAATCCATAGGCACCATGAGATTTCTTCAGGTGACTACCACTTTTCTTCTGCTGTCCAGTCTTTGCAGCAGCCAAGTCAGTGCAGGTACTGTTTTCTCTTATTTTCTGTTGGTATATGTGTTAGGGATGACTGCTAGAGGGCTCAGCTTTAGTTTACTAGGAAGAAGCTTTCCCCTGAAACATGAATGCAGCAGTCTCTTTGCTCAGTGGAGTGTTTGGACATGGACTTGCAGCTCAAGGAGTCTGGTTCTCAACAGGGAAAATATTTGCTTTCACTAAAGAGAAATGCTTGCTGGTGCAATAGCCAATGTGTATTGAGTGAAATCACAGAGGTTAATATATAAAAATCTGGTAGAAGAGAGTAAAACTGGAATAGTAGCTAAAAATGTTGATATTTCATTAAATATGTATTCCTTTCAGAGATAAGTCTAGAAATAATAAAACTTGTCACATATGGGCAGTGAAAAGTTACACTTGGCAATACTGCACTGTCAATGTCAACCTGAACTATTCTCAAACACTTTTCAGCTCAACTAGTACAAAGATGCTTAGGGAATGAACCTTAATTCACTATTAAGTGAATCATAGTTATCTTTAAGTGAATGAGAGAGATGAAAGTTCAGAGACTTTTGTTACAAAACTATTCACCTATCTAAACATACCCGAAAAACATTTCATGTAACATTTCAGGAATTTATACACATAAAAACACTCAAATGGAGGATATATGTATGCTAACTACATTAATGACTGGTTTTTAAAATGTTGGACACTTTACCCTTCCTAAGTAATTCAAGATAAAAAGTTAAGTTTAATCAGTATTTATTAGGATTCTACCTGTCTTGGACAGTGCAAACAATATAAAAATGAGAAAAATGACTTTGCATATAAAAATGAGAAAAATGACTTTGCATAGTGACAAAGGCACTCTTGAGAAAAACAAACAAATAGTTCTAATATAAGACAGATTTAGTAATTTGTGAAAGGTGAAATGCAAACTATCATTTAAAAAAAAACAAGAGAGATTGATTTTGATCCTCAGAAGACTTGGGTGAATTTCTTTGAAAGGTCAGTTATAATTTTATTTTGATTGTGCTCTTTTCAAAAGTTTTCGGCCTATAAAATTCTAATTTCATAGTATATTTCTTCTTGAGCAACGTTTTTATCAGTAATTTTTCAAAATATCTGCATATTTAGAACAAATTTCAAAGCACTTCAAAATCATCTATTTGCTTACTTTGCATCTTGGAATTTCCAATTAAGTTGCAGCAAATATCAAAGCCAGCAAATTTAACTTCCAAGGGATACTAAGACTTGGACTTTTTAAAATAAAGAATATTTGTGAGGTGTCACAGAAATCAATGCATTAACTTATAAGGAACTGTTTGTTATGCATGAGAAAAATTGATGTGAATTCCAACTCCTTGAAACACATTGCTCATAAATATATACCTGGTTAATATAAATTCAGAAAGTCTAGGTTAGGTTGCTAGCTATTCCAGGTCTATAGGCTTTAGTTAGGACACTACTCTGCTTGCATTGTTCAATACAGAATGGATTATATGTCTTTCTGAAAACAATATGGAAAATTATCAATAGAATAAGCTCCGATCCATGTCCATATAGAAAACTCAAAGGCAGAGAATGGCTTGGCAGATTTTTCTATGGTCCATATTAAGAAAACACCAACTTCTTTTAGCAAATTAGCAATGAACTCACCTTTTCTTTAACCCATGTAAGATCAGATCTCATTTGAAACATGATACCAGTTACCCAGTAACTTCAACTATCTACTTCAACTTCAAAAACAAGCACAAATCAACCATTTGAATTGACTTTGAAGGAACTGGACTACATTTTCATGTATGACTTTGTTCCATTTGACTCTGCCTGGTTTATGTTCCCTCAGCAGATCAAGCACCGGAAATGAAGCATTGCCTAAGAAAATCCAGTAGCTTCTTTCCTAACTCGCAGTATCAAAAACACAAGGATTTAAGAACTTTCCTTGTCAACCAAACTTAGAATAATTAACACATTTTATCAGCAGAGTTGATGGTTTCAGGAAAGAGGCACTTCATCTGCCTGAAATTTACAAATTGTCAAGCAGATGCCGGCTTTTTACATAGTAATTTACTTCTGAATAATAATCGTTTAGCAAAATTGACTGTTTTTCTTTTCCTTTCTGATTTTTTTAAGTCTCAGCTTTAAGTAAATACAAGCTTTTGTAGTTTTTTTGTCAAAAATCAAGGGAATCTTTTTACAGGGCATTGAGTGGCTTTTCTTACTTGGTTGGTGGTATAATATTTTACAATGTCCAATTTGGAAGGCTGTTCTTGTGAAATATGTATGGGAGGTTCAGGAAAGGAAACAGCCATTCTTTCTTAAGTTTTCTAAATTGTATTTAAAACAGAACAGACCCCTGCAGTGGCTTTTAAACTCCTTTGACTTTTAGGTCTTGATCGATGAGCTTTTTGACTGTTGGAACTCAGAAATTAAAAGAAAGATTTCAAGAAAAGGGAGACCTTGGGAACAATATGTACTTCCTTCTCAAATGTCATATACTGTTAAAACTTTATATGAACTTAGGAGATATTACCATGTTTTATAAATTTATAGCAAAGAAGAGATGCCACTTTATTGGAATCTAAAGGACTTAACTGCTAAAAGAAATTGGGGAGTGGGGGTGGGTGGGAGATGGGAAGGGATAGGAAGGGGAAACAAAGGAGGAGGCAACAATGCTTGATAAGAAATGTACTCATTACCTTGCCCATGTAATTGTAACCCCTCTGTATGGTATTTTCACAATAAAGAAAAGGAGAGAAATTCATCTGTTAGTGACATAATGTTTCAGAAAACAAAAAGTGGTTAAAAGCATTGTAAGCAGATACTATACTAAACACTGAAGGCTTACGGAGAGCAATATGACACATGGAAAGGGAGGAGAGTCTCCCCAGAAATTTTAAGTTTGATTGATTTAAGAGGTAAGTTTGGTTTAATTGTAAGTTTGATTATTTAAGAGGTAAATAAAGACTGGAATACAGAAAAGTGATAAACTCACAAAATTGGCCTGAGGTGTAAAGATATCACATAAGTTCATATATAAATTTGTAGATTATGAGAAGCTTTGAAAGTCTGAAGATCAAGAGGGTTCAGGTGAATAAAATTTCTTGAGTAGGAACACTGAAACATATTCTGGTCTAAAAATGAAAGGAAATCACCTGTTAGCCATAGTTAAAGATTAGAAAATAAGGTTGAAACTATGGTATCAGTAAATACTAAATATCAGGACAGGAAGTACTGACATACATTACTAGCAGCTCAGTGGTAGAGTACAGGCTGAAGAAAAGGAAGGACTTGAGTTCAACTTGTAGTGACACCAGAAAAACAAATAACATACTGACTCCCATGGTTAATTACTTTAAAGCCTATAACTGTGTTTTAGAATAGGAGGTACATCATGATTAGAGCTCTTAAGTTGCGAAAATTAATCTGAATTAACTTGCAGACTATTGATCAGATGTTATTAGAATCTGGAGAAATAAAGGTTAAATTAGTTCAAATCTGATGGTCTTTCAATTAATTGAAAAGATGAGTCATACTTTAAGGAAGTTGAAAGTTTGTGATTTTACACACTATACTGGCAATGCAATGGACGGTTGAAGCATGTAAGAGGTTATTTGAATTCTAAATGTGGGCAAATGGTTTGGCAGCCAAGATGATGAAAGAGAAGAGGGGATAATTCAGGGATAAAAATGGTGTCTGATTTCAGACAGGGTAATTTTGAAACCCTGATAATATATTCAAGTTTATCTGTCCAAAGGCAAATTAAAGTTGCTTCTTGGATAGTAGGAATACAGCTAGACCTAGAGATGATGGGAGGGGCCTAGAATTCTGCATGCAAAGATGTCTTACTCTAGCCCATTGCAACATTAATAACATTACCAATTTACTTCCCTCCTAGATGCCCAATGTTTTAATTCTTTTATGACACTTACTTTCTAATTCTACAATTTTCAGGTATTTTTTCTGCTTAAACCACTGCAGAAGAAAGAGCTAGATTTAGTACAGTTTATCTATAAGCAAGAGTACTAAACCTATAATATTGAGTAGTTGTATGAATGAATGCATACATAAAATCATGCCCTCTTTATTATTGTCATCTTTAATTTCTTTCTATGCCAATCATTTACCAGCCTATCACCTTGTCTCTGAGGGAGATTGTGAGCTGGTGTGAATGGTATAACACAACAAAGATAGGAGTGGATGATAGCCATCAGGGAAAAAGGATAAACAGAATTGGTTTAATTCCTCCTTTTTTGGTTATCGGACATTTATAGTTCCTTAGTATTAGAAATGTTCAAGCAGATACCCTGTGAGCAACCAGCTTCCCAGAAATACAAAACAATTTTAAAAATAAAGAGAATTTGGGGGCTGGGAAGGTGGCTCAGTGGTAGAGTGCTTGCCTGGCATGCATGAGGTCCTGGGTTCGATTCCTTAGCACCACATAAGCAGAAAAAGCCAGAAGTGGTGCTGTGACTCAAATGGTAGAGTGCTAGCCTTGAGCTGCAGAGCTGAGGGACAGCCCCCAAAGTTCAGGCTCCACAATTGACGAAAAAAAGAAAAAAAAAACAAAAAGAGAGACAATTTGGAATAAAAATTAATATTCCACATTTTTACTTTATCTTTCATTTTAAGTAAACCAAGTTACTTCAAAGTAGATCATTTAAGCTAATACTTTGTATTTACTTAATAGTTTAATTTGCACCTAAGCTGATATGGGTGATCTGTTACAGGAGTAGTAACCTAGTGTGGAAAAAATCCAACGGGAAACCCATTCCCAAAACAATTTCAGTAGAATTCCTCACTAACTCATTTAAAAATAGTCCCCACCCAAAAATAGAAATGATCATTGTAGAATTTCTATTTTCAGAAGATTCATAATGGTTGCCAGAAACAAATTCCCTGGCAATTTTTATCTTAAGGATTGTAATTACTCAGAAGACTGAGGAAAATACTCATGTTTGAAGGTTTCAGAATGCTTTTCATTGGCTAGGTAACTGACCTTTTCCTCTTTATTGGTGAGGA